TATGAAGTCACCGAGGACTCGCAAGAAAGCCAGACATAATCCTTACCAGCTGCCGCCAATTTAAGTGTTCGCCATTTCTTCCTCGTGTGATTTTCTATATGTATTTTCTTTTCCATTTTTGTTTGATTTTTTTTGTCCTCTTTTGTTTTTGTTTGTTCGGGTATAAAACACTTGATCTAGAGTTGAGAAATTCCTTTGTATAACTACTGTAGTTTCACTCTTTGTAAGGACAAGTTTTACCCCCTAAGAAGGGACACTGCTTGCTAACAAACGGTATCTTAACTGAAAGTCAAATTTTCATGTTAATAAGATTTTAGAAGTTGTAATTAATTAGTGGAATATGAATGAGTAACAATAAGTTCTAATAAAACTCACAAGTATGATTAGAATAATATGTTTTAAATCTTACAAACTTGTTTTCTTAGAAATGTAACATATATTATACTTGAGAATTATTTATAACCTTAAATTCTGTCATTTTAAATTGAACTCTCTCTGGCAATAACTAAATATAATTTTTTAGGTAAGTTCTAAAAGAAATTCTTGATCCATTCCAAATATGGCAGCAGTGAGCTACAAGAAAGCATCTCTGGGTAACCGGAATTCGAACAATCAAATCACAACTGACATATATAATATAATCTTTCTTCATTTAAAACCCAGAGAAGGGGCCAGATATATTTTCACACAATCTTCAACCCCAACACTTTAGAAAGGAAAATTATAGAAAGTTGATAAAATGACAAATCATCAGCTATGCTCTTCGGTCACAGTTCAATGATGGCACTAACTTAGAACTAAAATCCACCGAACCAGCCAATTACAGTACTAACCTTCAACAAAAAATTTTCACCTTTGACTTGGGCTCAAGATGCCTAAAAAAATTTAACATATCCGCCCAAGTTGGCATCGATTATCAACCGCGGCCTCGCCCTCCACCTGTCACCAAAAGCAAATCTATGAGCGGTTAATTTTACATCAAACTTTTGCAAAAAAATGTCTTGTTACTCCAGACTCACCTCTGGTTCCACTGTTCTTTCCAGATCCACCTCTGCCTCTTCCACCTGCACCCTTAGAGCCTCCATCATCTAGACCACGGCCAATTCCTTTTGCTGGCCTTCCACCAGGACCTTCCTCTCTGCCTCTTCCTCTGCCACGCCCTACGCCAGGTGGCTTTCGATCTGGAAACATCAATTAATCACTTGTAAGAAAGTTGCTAAAAGAAATGCGTTACCCCTTACATATTTTATTTTTTAACAAAGCATACCAAACACTTTTTTTTTTTTTTTTCAAAAGAAATTATCTTTTAGCAAACATACAAGTATTTTGAATTAGGAAAAAATCAGCGTCTGAATATCTATAACCTGCTTACCGAATTACTGAGCAAGTAGAGGAGAGCAAGCATTAACTGTTAAGCACGGTCAAAAAGCCTTTTAAACATCTAAACATAGACAGACACTTTTCTTTAAATGTCTGAGATCAACCATAGTTCTCAAGTTGGTAGAAAAGTGCCAAGAACAAGGGGGACGCACACAAGAAGTAATCACCATAAATGGCACTTCTCAGTAAGAATCAAGCATATTTAATCATTTTTGTCCCACAGACATTTATTGCTTGAGCCTGATATAGAGAAGAATTAAACAGCAAGAATCAAATAGAGAATTGATATCCAGGGTTGTTGGGAGTAATTTTAAAACTCCCTCAACGCATGATTCCTGTTTCACAACTTATTTATTGTCTACTGAAGTCATAACTGTTTAAGTGAATATAAACATATATCCGCCAGCAATTTCCATCAGAAGAGTTAGTTGTACCTGCACGACTCTTGGTTTCTTCTTGAACTTTATCAATCACCTAGAAGAGAATTTAAGTCAGCAAAAAGTCCGAAAGAATAACTGCAACAATGTGAAAAGAATAAGCCAGCAATGTACTGAGATCTTGCAGTTGACAATAATGATCTTTAAAGAGAATTTAACATGAATGTTAGAACAAATAACTATTGTCGGTTAGATCTAAATAACATACTGAAGTACAAACTATCTGAACATGTTTTCACACTATCAAGACTAACTTTATTGATTCCCTGGATTTAATAATAGTGCTATTAAAAGAAGTTTATTGAGTGAAAAAGCAAACAACGATGGTAAACTGTCTTGATCTAATGAATAATAAACCAACAGTTTCTAATAGGAGAAAGCTCCTTCTAGCACTTGAAAAGATAGCTCTTTATGCAAACATAACTATAACAATCATTAAGTACAGAATTACAAGGATGGAACAAAAGATGGAGGAATACCTCATCAGGAACTCGAAGATATTTGATTGTATTCCCACGAATATAGCATTCAGGCATTCGCCAAAATCTATCTCCATCCTACATTATAATTATAATCAGTCCCCAATTATGATCCCAAAAAAAAAGAAGAATTTTCTTGAAACTTTCAAGAAAGCAAAAGAAAAAGAATTGAAGAACTACAAAATACACCGGTTGAAACAAGAACATAAAAGGAACCTTTGAGGTACAGATGACTTCACGGAGATGAATGTTCATCCAGGTATCACAATTGACCAAATGTCCATTGTATGTCTCTCCATTTTTCAGTTCTACTAACTGTCAAAAGAAATCATCATTAAAAAAGAACTCCCACGAGAAAAGAGCAGATTCAACACAAATACTTCTATGTCTAACACAAGAGAGACAAAGCTCATACCATGGGGTGCCCTTGGGCTGTCTTGAGTAGAGAAAGAGGAAGCTGCCACAGATTAATCAACATTCGCCATTAGCCAAGTGAGAAGCAATAGCTAATTGAGCGTTTGGATTGCTCATTTGATGCTTATAAACAGCGTTAAGCACGTTGAACTAAAAACCAATATAACCTAACTTAAATTCATTACTTCGTGGGTAAAAGCTAATTAGGTTGAAAAAGAAATCCATCAGTGGAAGTAATTTAGACATGAGAAACAATAAAATCCACTCAGGTATAAAAGTTCAGAACATTTCACCAGTGAAGGAAATAGAAAGAGAACGGAAACAAACGGGGTGTTTAGTGCCTCTGAAAGGCTAAATGAGAAAAAGAAGTCTACTACATTGAAGTTCGATGAAATTTCCTTGACTTGTTGACAACCAAATGAAGTGCGAGGGACAACATACCATATTCGAGCGCAGAAGACACCGAGCAAAAGCGGCGAAGACTAGGTCACCTGCAAAGAAAACAGGGAGCAAGATCAGAGAAGAAGCGAACAACAAACAGACAACAGTATTTGAAAACCTAAATTCTAATTTGGCCGAAAATTGAAAGAAAACATAAGCAAAGGAAATAATATACCAGTGAAAAGAATATACGGATCGTCTCCTCGATCTACGTCTCTGTCTTTCTTCAAGGAATCGAAAGCGCGCTCTAAATACAGTCGCGACCAGCAAAGAAGAAAATTCCAGCGAAACTAAAACAAAACATTATTGGGTGGACGGCTACATGTAGGGGGGATGGTATTTAAATTAAATTAAATTAAGTTTTATAAAGGAAATATATTACAATTAATTATTTTATTTTATTTATCATTATACTCTTAAAACTAAATATTACAATAATTTATATTATGAAATGAGAATATTATTTTTTTTCATTTTCTTTTTTCATAATTTTACTATTTTTTTAGAAAGAACAAAATATATATATATATATATATTAATCCCATAAACTATTTTTGTTTAGTTATTTGCTTAAAAATTAAATATGACAATCTTTATTTGTATATTTAACTTTATAAAAACTATGGTTTAATTTAATAATATTTCAACAAAAAATAAGTAAAATACTAAACTTAGTTTAATATTTTAATTTCAAAACATTATATTTAAATTAGGTCATTATAAAGTTGTAATACCTCAATTAGGTCATGTACAATGGTAAGCCCTTACAAGTTCCTAACCAAAAAATATAAGAGTTTAGATTCCAAAAAGAGTTCTTAGATGAGACCCCCCAGATATATGTACAAACAGTGCTTTTCATCACAAAAAATTTTAGTCTCTCCTCGGTAATTTTATAATATTTTATAGTAATTCGGTAAATTTTGTTCGATAATCACCCAATATTTTGTATAATTATTTGATCGCTACACAATACCGAATGATTATCATTCAAAGTTACCGTACTATGAAATGTCAAAAAATTACGTTAAGACGAGACTACGAAGTAACTCAGCACTGGATGGAGCTAATAAGTTTCGTAAAGATAACTGGGGAGCGAGAGCCTTTCACGTACAAAATAAGTTACAGCAAAATCTGGCTGCCTAAGCTTTCATCATTTTCATCAAACCTTTTGCGTATGGTGGTCAGGTCAACCAGATGCCTCATGGTTGGCCTGCCATGCGGGCAATTCCAAGGAGACTTGAGGTCTGCCAAATGCTCAAGTATCTGAACAGTGAATATAAAACATGTTAAATATGTAAATCTCTGGATAGTAAAAGCATAATATTCTCTTAATAAGGCTATGAGCTGATGAGTCTTTATAAGGCCAATGCATTCTCAGTGCATGTAAGCAAGCAAGATCTAGAAAGCTAGTCGAAATATACATATATATATATATATACATATACTGTAGGCTACTATGGAGTAGACAGGACATCCTGAGGTTATTTATTACCTTTTGCATCTCATTTCTCCCAAGCGGGTCACCAATCATAACAGAGGACCTACAGGCGCGAGACGCCAACATTGCACGAACTCTGGATGGGCAAACAGAATCAGCAGTATCCGTTTTGTAACTGCTTATTATTGAACATTCTCCTTGATTATCAGCAAGAGTAGAAATCAGGTCTTTAACATCTGTTCAAGGGATACTGATAATTAGTCTGCTGTGGATGCTGTTCGGTAAAATGCGATCAAATTCTGAACAAAAACATGTCCTAGAGTGGCATGGCACCATGGCAACTTGTTCACACAATAATGTTAATCAACAGACCAAGCAATGAATTAATTGGTTTCTTAAAAGCAACTAGTTTCACTCGCTACTTTCACACCATAAGAGAAAGTTTAATTGAACTAAATCAAAATAAATCTTGAACTCATTCCTTAAAGCAAGTGGGCACCACCACTCTGATTTTTCTTTTTATAGACATTTAAATATAAGCTAAGCAACAAATTGTTTGATCACAAATATAAACTGAAGTTTTGGAAACATGGATGCATAAGGACACTTCGGGGAAGCAGTCCCAAAATGAAAAATACACTTCTAATCTTCAAGCCTTTATGTGAGACAAAAGATGAGTAGAAAGAATTCAGTCAACAGAAGAGACCATAAGAGTCTTTCAATGTACATAACCATCATACCACACTCTCCCAGCATAACCCCGGCTCTAATGAAGAGAAATGCAAGAAAAGAGCATGTTCTTATGTCTGCCTCATTATTTCCAAATCCATATTTTTTCTTCATTGAATTTCTGTCTTGACTCATGTGTTGCTATTTGCCTGTCATAAATATGTATGAGCTGATTTGAAGTTTGGTGATCACTCACCTTGCACAATCACTGGTTCAAAGCAATCCCCAGAATGAGCATATAATTATTTGGCTTAAATTGCACATCGAAGCCAAGCTGACTTGCTGATTAAAAATGCACGAATAACTGAAAGGGACGAGGAAAACAGACTACCTTCTACTCCAAAAGTAATGTTTTTGCTGAAGGGAATTGCTGTTAATTTAAAGTGGCACCCTGGTGGAGCATTTGGGTCTTCTTCAAGAGCAAATCCGTTTCTTCTGAGAAGTAACAAGATCATCAAAAAGTGAAAAAGTTCATGAGTAGATCCCTAATCTCTATCTTTGAAAGAGGTCTCCATCCATAAACACGAAGTCATGGTTTACTTCAAGAATCTTGAATTCCAAATGTGACTCGCAGCTTAAAGATCTAAGAAAAGAAAAACTTATGAATAAAAAGAAATTAAAACTTAGCTTGCACCTGATTATGTCCATATGAATCGAAGCAACCACTTCTTCTTCAGGAGACAATTCCAACCTCAACGGCCTGCACATGATTTTGGAAGTCAGCAGCCAGAACATGATACCTTAGATGAAATGAAATAAGCATACGTGAATTGAAAGAGCCAAGAGAAAACATGAAAAGTAAACCCAAACAAGAAGTTTAAGACTGGCCATATATGTGCAAGACGCTGTCTTAGATATTATGATACTTTTCCTTCAACTATTCAATATTAATTCTATTCATAAATTTTTAGAGGGTGACCAGTTTGTGGCATGGTTTAATAACAGGTACAATAATAAAGTTGTACATGGGGATGGGTGTGTTGTTAGTTTTACTTAAAAGTTAACACCTTAACATGTTTTCATTCTTATAAACATCCAGACACAGTAAAAAGCTCACTTAAATGATATCAACTGCAATGATGATGGCCAGAATCCTATAATTTCCAGACTCCTTGCCTAATTATTTGTCACCCTCGATGATAGGCTAGGTGCAGAAATAAATAATCAGTGAGTAAATAAAATACCTTTCCTTGAAAAATATAACTAACAGATACAATAAACTACTTACCGAAGTAGAGGTTGTTGATTGAAGACAGTTGTTTGTGCCAAACGCTCAAAATTGTATTTCTCATCAGCAGCATGCTGTAAATAGAGAAATTCACACCATAAGTGATTAGCACATTCGAGTTTCAAAATAGCGAAGGATTTTTATCTGCCACCCTACAATGGGACATTCAAAGCAAACAAGTAAATTAGAACAGAGTTCAGTACCTTCGATGGAAATATACCTGATCCACGATAAACAGATCTTCATCCAACTTTCCTACGATGAATCCAAGATTAAATTGCCCAATCACCTAGGGAAAAGAACAAAAACCACCAGTATCTCCAGTCAGTTGAAATCAGTCTATATAGCAAGAAACTAGCAAGCTATGGCCAACTTCAGGGAAGACAATTCAGCTAGTACTTTTAGCAAGTCAACAAAGGTCAAAGTCTTATGCTGCCAGTTCAACCCCCAAAAAAAAATGTTCCCGCATGAGACTTGATGAAGCACTCAGTAGAATGCTTAACCGCAGCCACAGGATACAAAGTTTTCCACACAAGAAGAGGAAGAAAAGAAAAAGAAAAAAAAAAACGAAAGGAAAGGAGAGAGGACGCAAACAAAAATAAGCTAACTTATATAAAGATATAGGAACCTTCATTCTGCAGAAGTCCTCCTTTCTGAAAAGCCTTTCCAACTCGGTTGTAGCTGCAGCTAAAGCCCTTGCTTTCCGTTCCTCATTTTCTGGTTGAGAAAGCTCCAGAGTTGCAGCAACAAATAAGCTGTAGCCATCATTTAACCTTAAATTAGTTGAAATGTAGCAAGATCAACTTTTTCTGGCAATAAATAAAGCTATTACTTCAAAGATCTTTTGGTATTCATGGCCCCAAATTTTGGACTAATGGATTGCAATCTTGCTAGTCTCTGTTGCCTCCTCGCTCGTAGGTCTTGAAAACTAAACTGCAAAGTCGAACAGATCTTCAGACCAGAGGAAGGAGCTGGTGAATCCAACAGTGAACCAGAAGGTTGTGATAGTGGAGCTTCGGATGCATGATCTTCTGACATATCATTAGGATCCTTGCTCGATGAAGTAATTGAAGCCAGATTGGCTTTAGGAGACCCTTTCCCTTGTTCCTCAACCTCCTGTAAATTTGAAATACTATAAATCACGAGAAGTATTTAAACTAGATCCAAGTAACTTATAAAAAACATCATCTCAATCTAACTCCTGTCATTCATTCAACTTACCCATGCATAGACATATAAAGGCATAACCTCAAAGGATATTGTATACAAAAAGAAAGGTGATCCAAAGATTTATTTTCTTTCTTTCCCTTTAGAAATGAAATCCTGTTTTCAGCTAATGTAGTTGGAAAAAGAGCTTGGATAGTTAAAAACATACCATTTCAGGATTTCCACTATTGATAGTGCCTCCAATAGAAACTTGATTTCCGATTTCATTGGACATCTTGTTTGTTTGTAGAAACTTTGAGTGCTCATTTATTGAATCATCAAGCCTGTGATGTTTAACTGGCAATCTTGTAGCCACAACAGGTGTTTCAGAATTTTGTTTATTCAGTTGACCTAGTGGACTTTGATTTCTCAAGACAGGTAACTCTGATAAAATTGTAACAACATTTTCAAGCTTCCTTTTATTTACAGTTACAAATTTTTCAATTGATGACTGAACACGGTTTGAATGACTATTTGGATTCCTATTTACCACAACAACTTCTTCAACTGCATTGAAAGAGGATGAAGCATTTCGGTC